TCCCCATCTGCTTAACACTAGCCAGACACCAGTGAGACAGACACCCATTGGGAAGGTTATAAATGTCTTAAGTGCTGCATGTGGGGGACTGACCCACTGCTCTTGGTCTGCCTGGCAGGTGCCTGCTGCTGTAAAGGAGAGTGCTGCCAATTCCTGTGCTGAGGAGACGAATTTCATACCCTGGGATGATTGTGTGCTTCAAAATGTGTGCGGTGCAGACCAGTGGAAGCTGCAGAAACAGGAGACCACACAAAGGTCAGGAGGGAGCAGTCAGTTTGCATTCACTGTGCCTTGGGCAGCACCTGCAGTGGTGAGGCTGCAGCATGGGGATCCCAGGACCCCACAGCCCACACTGATGGGTTTGTTGAACATAAAGTGCTGCTTTATCTCTAACTTTGTCTGTAACTGTCAAATCCACATGCTGTGCTGTGCCCAGATGCCCCAGGCCCAGGATGCTGGGAAGGGAGCCCTGGGTGGCCTGGACACTCTGATGAGCAAGAGGGTTTAGGATGGGAACTTGGGGACCTGCCTGGTGCTCTCCTGCTCCTCTGTGTTACAGAGCACAGGGGAGGAGAAGAGCTTCCCGCACAGGAGAGCAATGAGGAGGACAAATGGGGCCAGTTTGCTCTCTGCAGCTGAGCTTAGCTCTTTGCCCCAGGATGGGTGGTGGTGGCTTCTACAAGGAGTACATCAGGAAAAGAGCCTTTGGTATAGCCCTGGGCTAATGGTGTCTCCTACAGTCTTTTCCAAGGTGCTGGTGGCTTGTAGCTAACTCTCCTTCCCAATGGCATGCGTCCTGCCCTGGTCTCTGGGCATTGCTCTGGATGAATAAACCAGAGGAAGAAAGAAACAAGAGACCATGTTTTTTTAATGCCATGGTCAAACCTCATCAGGCACTGCTGCCTGGCATGGCCATCACTCCAGGTGAATGGCTGAGCGGGAACCTGCTTTAGGCAGTGGAAAATGCACAGCTCCTTAACAGGGTGAGGCTTAGCAGGGTGAGGATGGGGCCCTGGGGTGGTCAGACCCTGCCTGGTCTGCCTGCAGCAGCAAAAGGAGCCTTTGCAGAGCTCCTGCTGATAAGAAGTGCCTGCATTCATGTTTCCAAGGGTCCGAGTGAACTGCTGAGTGGCGAAGCTCAGAAACCCAGACGCCAGACAATGGAAAGGCTGGAAATATAAAGGAAAGGAAATTCTTCTGCTGTATTGCCTTTCCTATGGCGATAAGATAACCCAAAGTGAAACAAAAGTCCCCGCTGCAGACGGTGGGGTGGGCACCTCAGCTGCTTTCTAAAGCACAGGAGGATGTCGTCATGAGCCAGGATCTCCTGAGCCGGCAGGGCACAGCCAGCATGTGCGCCTGTCGCACAGTGCACAGTGGCAGCAGTGTCTGCAGTTCTCTGCAACAGGGAACCTGGCCTACTCCATCCTATAAGTCCTTCACTTACACACTGATGGGAGAAATCTTACTTTAAATGATCTGGAAGAGCAGAGAAAAGTGAGGCCGCAACATTTCCTAATGATACATAATAGTTGGGTGTATGAACATCCCAGAGCTAGTACTGGAATGTGTTGAAAGGGTCTAGCACTGCTGAGTGGCTGGGGTCAGAGTGACAGCTTATATTACATGCTAGAATGGTGGGGACAGGGACGAGAGTGTGTCCATATGGCAGGGCTGGGAGCAGGATTAGCTCCAGACATAGAGGAGGCTGTTCCTGGGAGCATAACACTGTGTGGGAACTGCCAGGGCAAGGGCTGCAAGTGAATCTGTGCAATGCTGGTGTGTGTACAGAGCCGGGCATCCCCCAAAACATCCAGAGCTACATAGGTAGGATGGAGGTGAGCCTCTGAAAAGGTATCCTGTTCCAAAGAGGGGACGTAACGGGGTGCGTACCATCAGGGCGGCAGAGGGAAGGACAAGTGCCTCTGCTGCATCTCAGAGCACAAGCACAGGGAGCTCTGAAATGAAGCTGGCAGAGAAAAGTTCAGATTACAGCCTGCAGGCTCAGAGGAGGCCTAAATTAACTGTGGAAATCATTGTGTGCTATTTTGGGCAGCAGGGCTTGGATGAATGATGAGAGGAGTTCAGGGAGACGGGCCAGGGCAGCCCCTCAGGCTCAGGAAGCACCCAGGGCTGTGGCCACTGGGAGCGGCAGGGCTCGCTGCAGGAGGTCACCTTATGCCTCCCTGCTCAGAGGTGAGCCTATGCTGCTTTGGGCTGCTTTGGGGTCCTGTCATAGACAGCCCTGTTAACAGGTCCTGTCATTTGGGCTGCTTTGGGGTCCTGTCATAGACAGCCCTGTTAACAGGTCCTGTCATTTGGGCTGCTTTGGAGTCCTGTCATTAACAGCCAAACTTCAGGCAACAGCAGGACAGGTGCTGTGTCCTGCTCCCTTCTGGTCTGGGGTCCCATGATGGGAGCTGTGAGGGGGTGTGATGGTGTTAGTTCAGGGTGCAGGGACCCAACTGAAAGGAGAAGCTGTGCAGGGGGGCCTGGGACTTGGGTACATCACACATTACTGTGGTTTGCAGCTCTGCAGTGGCTGCACTTACTCTTTGCCCTGGGGTGCAGTAGGGGAGATCAGTGGTCCCAGCCCTTTCAGGTCTTGTACTCAGTCCACGTGGATTTTTTCCCCTTTGTTTTCATGCTGATGGCTCTGGAAGGGCGGGGGGCTGAGCTGTAGGCACAGGGAGAAGTGCAGGAGTCAGAACAGCAGCAGCTTTGGTTGGACTGTCATGACACTTGCAGTGCTTCGCTTTGTGCTGCCTAGGGAAGCAGGATCTGGCAGCAGAGCAAAACACAGCACAAAGCACCGTAACACTGGGCAGGTGTTGCACATCTGTGCAGCGTGGTTTGCTATAACCTCTCTGCCAGCTCCCTGTAGCCTTCACTGGCTGCTTCTGCTGGGCTATTTGAGGAGCTACCTCTGCCACCGGTACCTCTGATGGAGATCATCCCACAGCAACCACAGCCATGTGGGGGCATGAAGAGCTCTTCCCAGTGCAGAGCACACTGGAGCGTTCCCAGCACTGCTGCCCAGCCAGTCCTGCTGCAGCCACACATTGTACAAGCAGTCACACGATGAGGCTGGCTGCATGCACCCAGCATGGTCCCTTTGCTGTTACTTGGTGAACCGAGCGGGCCGGGCAGGCTTCCTCCACTTGACATCACTGTGGGCTTGTTCTGGCTGTTCTGATGCCATTACAGTTGTTTTTTGGATCTTCTCCTGCCCTATGGCTTGCAGCAAAGGTGAGCCAAGCACCCACTGCTCCCTGCTGTGCCACAGGGTGTGGTTTGTGGGGTACCTGGAGTCCCTCAGGAGGTTCTTTTGGCCCTCCCAGCCCTGAGGGTCCCCAGGCGGCCTTGCAGCAGTGAAGAATGGAGAGATGGCAGGAGTGATCAGCTCTCCTCCCCTGCTCTGCAGGCAGAGAGGGGCTCATGGGCTGCTTTTGGGCTTCCCAGTGAGATGACATAAGCTCTTCAGGCAGTGATGCTCTTTGCCTCAGGACTGGGAACAATGCATCTCCTGTTTCAACTGCCTACACATCCCAGGGGGACGATGGCCACTGGCCACACTGGGTCTCCTGTGCCATCAAACCATGAAACTGAGTGGCTTTGAAGTGCTCTCTGCACTGCTGTTGGACAGGATCTGAGCAGCCATTGTGCAAAGCAAAACAAACCCTTCCTATCCTGTCAGAGGCTCCGAGGCTGACTCTGCTTCCAGCTGCAGGGCTGAAGAACCCTGCCAGAGCCTGCTGATAACCATCTACCCTTGCAAAAGAGTTCAAGTCCTTGCTCCTGGTGGATGATGTCACCTTATCAGCCCTTGAAGGCTCCTGATAAAGGGATCAATCTAGCTTTAGCTGCATCCCCACCTGCAAACACAATGTAGGGGCACAGCCACAGGGAGCGTGGCTGGGGCCCCTATGCTCTTTTGACCCGGGGAGGGTTGCGGCTGCCCGGATCCTGCCCAGCACAGCACCGGGACCGGGAACAATAGTGGCCAGGGTGGGCGATTACCGAAAATCATGTGCTTACCCCGGCTGCAGCTGTGACAGAGGCAATTCGTCAAAGTCCCATTTTCCCTTCCCTGATAAGATAGGGCTTGTGGAGTACAATAATGCTGTTCTGAGATGCAATTGTGGCTCTTCTACCCGGCACACAGGCAGGGGAGGCTAATTTTGGCCTTGCTGGCAGGCAGGAGGTGAGAGGGTGCTTCTATCTGTGCCAAGGGGCAGAGCAGGTCTTTGAGCCTAGAGAACCAGGACAGCCCAGGGACAGCAAGGTCACGCTGTCTCCTGTGGGCTGGCACACTCCCTGGTGTGTGGGTCCTTCCATGGTCCTGGAAGGTGCCATGGCTGTGGAAGGAGCTGTTGCCACTGGCTTTGTGATATGGAGCCAATACAATGCAGCACATTGCCGCAGTCCCTGCCAGCACCTGGAGGCTCAGCCTGAGGCTGGGGTAGCCCTGATAGCCAGTGGTCCCCCTTACCCTTGCTGGCACCCACTGCATGTACCTGCACCCTCACACCCTCTTCCTTCCCATGCTTTGGACATTGCCCTGCACTGTGATACGAGGACAGTGTTCATGCGCTGCCCAAGGGAAGCTGCCTGTTCTCAGCTGTCTTCACTGTGGCTTGCTGGCCAAGCACAGGCAGGAAGATCTTGGCTACCTTGTGCAAGCCAGTCTCTTTGGAGGCAGCTCCAGTGCCACCACAGTCTCAAGGAAAAAGCAGTAAACAGCACCACTGACAAAGCCAGAGCTAATGAAATCCCCAGCCTCGCTGGGAAACAGACCTTTTCAGTAAGATGTATTATAGTGGTAGGTGCTGGATCTGGCCTTCCTCATGAGGGCAATGAGCAGCACACCCCTCTGGCAGAGCCTAAGTTTCCATTTTGGCATATTGCTTGGATGCATTTTCTTCACAGTTTGAAATCCAAGCATAATACTATCTTCATGAACCACATTCACCAGTCTGATAATGTGACCTGACAAAAGGTCAATGGAAAAGTTAATATAATTTATTGGCTGATTTAAAAAAAAAAAATCTAATCATCCGTTTTTCCTTTTTCCTGACCCCCCACCCGCACCCAGCGCCCTGCTGATATTTTCCAGCCATTCCCAAAACAATAGCCAGGGTGGGAGTGCTCTGAGCGGGTACAGCTTTGGAGGAAGCTTTTCCTGAGGGGCTGGAGCTGCATCTGTCTGCTTAGCTCCCCCTCCCAAGAGCTGTGCTCAGCCTAGCTCACCAGCCTGTCCAGGGACAGGGATGGCACCACGTCAGGTTTGGGCAGACCTAGTGGTTTCAGTATGTTTGCTGGGGGTCTTCTGCTCCACAGGGTGACTTGAGGTTTTGGGTTAGAAGAAAGACGTTAATCTCTGCTGGTTTCATAGGTGTGGACAGGAGGGAAGGAGGGTCCAGCTGCTCCAGCTGCTGGAGTAGTATGGCCAGATGTCTTGGATGAAGCCTTCAGAGGCCCCATGAACATCCTCTCCAAGGACATAGCCCTTTGGGGAGGTTCCCATCACTGCATGCTGTGCTGCCTCACAGGAAAGCTGCAGAAAGCCCCAGTGTGGTGCATAGGCATGTGCACATGGATGCATTCCTTTGCACGTGTGTGTGAGTAGGTGGGATGTGCTGTCACGCAAGCACCCCTCTTCCTTGCACAGTTCCTCAGTTTTCCCAGCTACCAAAAGCATGGTACTGCTTGCTCAGCCCAGGGCAGGGGGCTGAAAGCTGCTTCACCCCATAGCTACTCAGCAACCACTTGTCTCCTCATGCCCTAGAGTCCACACTGTCTTTAGAACCCCAGGAGGTGTCTGAAGCAATCAAGCAGCCAGATGGTTGTCCGGGCATGACCTCTCCTAAGGAGGCAGATGAGCTTGCTTTGTTAGGGTGGAGCTGCAAAAGTAATTAGTAATTTCTTATGCTAATACCTTACAGATGCAAAAGAAAGGCTCCCAGAGGGTAAGGGATGGTGGAAAGGATCCAGTAGTTTCTCCTTCAGCATTAGCTGTTGCTTACATGTGGTAGCTTTGGAGTTCACGCCCTGCTGAGCTGTGGGAAGGAGAGCATGGGGAAGCCTTCTTCTGGCGTGGGCTGGGAGAAAAGAAAGCCTCTAGCTGCCCATTTCTGTCAGGCTGCAGCACTGATGAGCTCTGTCATGGTGGTACCATGGCTGGGCATAAAAAACCCCGGCTCCTGTCAGCTGCAAGTGGCTGTCCTCCCTGCTTTCTTTGCAGCACTGTCTGCAGGCCTGGCTGTTGCTGAGGAAAGGCTGGAGAGATGGAGGGAGCCTGAGCAGTGTGTCTTGCAAAGCAGGGGACAAAGGAAAAGCAGGTAACTTCTGAAGCCTGGAGTTTCAAAAAAGCAAAATGACCCTCAAGCATGTTCTCACCTTGTGTTTTGTAAAGCTATTTCATGGGCATTTGTGTGTACGGCTGGCTGTGGTGTGGGGGCTCCTTGGCTGTGCAGCTCTGCCTGCTGCACACCAGCAAACCCAGCCTCTCCAACTGGGGAAGCTGGGTGCCCATGCTGGGGATGCTCCACTGCCTCTCTTGGTGAGCTCAGGAAGGCCTGGGCTTCATCATAGCTAGTCCTGGGTTTCTTCACATCTTTCACAAGCAGGAGCACTCAGATGCTGCTGTGCCTAACAGCCCAGCATAAGGGTACCCCTAGCCAAATGCCTACAACAGGCATCACTTGTGCAGAGCTGCCTGTCCCTCATCACTCTGCAGTTACCAGATTGTGCTGCTTGTGGTCCCAAGGCTTTCTGCCTGCCCTAGAAACTGCTTTTCAGTGTCTTGTGGGTAAGTTGATCTTCTCTGGCCCTTGCACAAGATGTTTTTTGCCCATCAGCACATTCAGTTCCCGCTCTGTTCCAGCTGGTGCTGGGCCATGCGGGCAGGGCACACTAGCCTCGACGGCAGCAACGCTGCTGGTCTGTGGGGTGAACTGGGAGCCACTAGGGCGGCTGAGGGCATTGCAGAAGCATAGCTTCTCAGACTGTAATAAGCTTGTGGACTTTGCCCTTTTAGTTGAAATAACGGAGATGAAAAAGTTACTAATGAGGATGATTGATGGTGGGCCAAATGAGCAGACAGCATAACCCACTTTGCCTCCTTCCCCAAGGCACTGTGCCAAGGAGACAAGATGCACACAGGTTCTGGCTCCTGTGCTCTCTGAAAGCCAGCACATCCCAGCTTTGCTCTGGAGTGCACAAAGCAGAAGAGAGGCTTCCCAGCCTTCCACTTTGTTGTAACAGCACCGACTGCCTGTCTGCTGGGCGGTTTCCCAGGAGCTGCTGTGAGAACAAGGTTGCATAAGTCACTTCAGCAGTAACCCTTCTTGTTCTGCCCTGGCTCACACTGTTAAAATGGTGTCTTGTCTCCAGGCATGGCAGGGGTTAGGAGCTGTTCCTGGCAGGACAGGGGCAGCTTGGTTTGAGGTCTCTGATGAACCCCTGGAGAAGCTGTGGATGCCAAACACCCCCTATCCTGCCTGTGTTACAGTCCCCAGTGGTAGGCAGTAAAAAGGGGATGTGTGTTTGATACCCTGATGGGAAGGTGTGTGAGCTCACCCTAGGTTTCAGGTCCTTACTGCATGATTGACTGCTCTGGGCCAGCTCCCGTCAGAGATGGTCAGGACATAGGCTGCACAGACCTTCAGCCTGGCCCAGGATGACTTCAAGTCCTGCTGCTTTTCTGCAGTTGATGTTGAAGGACAGAAGGTGAAAATGGGTGTTGTGTATGCTATAAAAATCAAATCAGTTTTTATTTGTTTTAATAGGGGAACTTTGCTATGATAAATATGTCTTAGAAACTGAGAACCTGAACAAAAATGGCTCAAAGAAATCTTTCTAGTGTTATAAATCTAAATCTCCTCATCACAGCACAGCCCTTGTCAGGCTAAGTGTAAGGGGATTGTATCCTCACTTTCTGCCAAGGGTGTCAAAGCAAGCAAATTCACAGATCTTGAAGAATGTGCCAGTGGTATTTCAGCAGCCCTAATGCTCTGCAGCCTGTGAAGTCTGTACAGTAACTGAAAGGAAATATCTTTGTTTTTATTCACTTGGCTTTATTCCTAATTTACTCTTTGATGCCATCAGCCTGGGATAACACATTTTCAGAGATACGCTTTAAATTAAGGAAATGAGTTTGATTAAGTCCTTTAAACATACTTTGAGGGAGAAAAGTATAACAATAGAGGTATTAAAGGCCCTATTTTAAAGCAATTCTAATATGAAATCAAAACATCATGCTGCTAGATGGCAAGGTCCATTAGTGGTGTGTGTGTGTTCTTTAGCTGGAGGGGATATCTCCTTTTCCAGCTAGGAAAGTTGCCAAAGAGCTTGAATCTGTCCTCTGTGCTGGGTGGGCAGTGACAGGCAGGTTCATTTCACTGTCTGCTTACTTGCAGCCAAATAATAAATATACAAGTACTTTCCCTTTGCCAGTTGTACTCTGCTAGGTAAAAGTGATGTTTTCTCAAGAGTCATGCATTTGAGGTTTGGCTATATGTTATTTCTTTAGATAGTTATTTTATTATTTTTTTTTTTTTTAGCAGTCCTGAGGTAGTTTATCTGTAAATAGGTTACCTAGTATTGTGTTTATGCTGTCCATTGGTGTGGGTGGAGGGCTTCCCCATTTACTGGAATACTTCCAGCGAAGTCAATAGATTTGCAGGCATCTGCTGCATCCCTGTGGCAACTTTTTCCCTCTAGCTGGGACAACTGCTACCAAATTCAAATCTCCTTCTTAGTGCAGCAGCCTTTGCTCTGCTGTTAGCACCACCGGTGCTGGTGTGGTGCCCAAGGATCTCAGCCCAACTCCCTGTGTAAGCCATCAGGAGATTGGTGTCCTCAGTGGAGACAATCCATCAGCAAGTTTTTGGGTGTGTGATACATGGCAGCATTCAGAAATAATATGGTGGAGGCATGAAAGTGGGTAAAGACACTCAGATCCCACTTTTTGTTTGGTATGATACAGTCTAGACAAAGACTGACAGCCCTATTAACTGAAAGACTTATTATTTAAAATAGAACGGGTAGGGGGAAAGGGACAAATGCCAACAAAAAGGATGTGCCAAGGAGCTGCACAGTGATTCAGTTATGGCTTTGTGGCAGCAGGGAGCCAGGACAGGAGAGGGGATGGTAACTTCTGGGGAGGGAATAATCTTCAAAGTGCCTGAGAAGCTACCTGGAGACAGGCTTGACCTCCTTTACTCCTTCCCATGGCAGTTGTGGGGCTAGCAAGAGGAGCGGGAAAGCACCGTATTATTTATTCCATCTTCTATAAAAAGTGACTAAGATCTTGTTTGTATAAATGAAGCAATGAATTCCCCTTTCACTCTGACTGTTGCTGAAGGCATGTGACTTACTAGATATGCTTCTGTTGTAATAGAAATAACTAGGCAGGCTATTTTAAACCAAGAAGAACTGCATGTCTGGGGAAAGGGGGGAAAGAGGATTGGGTAGCACAAGAAAAGAGAGGCTTCTTCTGTGACAATCTTGGGCACTTTGTACAATTTGCTCTTTAAGATGTTTCCCAAGCTCTTCTGGCAGAGAAGCGATAACAAATTAACAACTTGGGCTTGTCAAAGCAGTTTAAGGAGCTTTCAAAAGAGACTTTTAAAGACTTGTGGCTTTCAGCTGCATATGAATCATCTTCTTGAAGAGTGAAACTGTAATTTCAGATTCCTAACAACCATTTCGTGGGTCACCATATACCTGTCTGTGTGCTCCTGAGCTCTGGCACTCCACTCAAGAGTTAGACATTCCTGTGCTGATCCCATAGGACACAATGCCTGTGTCTGAGAGCCCAGCACAGCATTGCTGTTGCCTACCTACTGAACTTGAAAATCTCAACTGGCAGAACCTGTGAGGTCAGGGAAAACACATAAGGGGAAGAGGAAGAATGTCGTGTCCACCCACAGCCAATTCCTTCCCCTGTGGCTCAGGGAAGGCATAAAGCCTTACCCACTCCCAGCTCCTTTTCTTGTGGAGCTCTTTTTATTTGCTGAAGAGTGTTTGGGGATTAGAGAGAGTGGGCCAGGGGAACTTCATCGTCTAAGCATAGCAGGGTTCCTTTGCCTTCTTTGCCAGGAAAGTCAAGCAAACAAGCCCAGAAATGTCCCACAGCTGTCCCAGGGGAGGGCTTGTTGGTACAGGCATAGCAGAGGTGTGCTTGCAGCATCTGGCATCGGATGTGGCCAGCTAGGTGCCTGTGCCCTGTGGAGGTGGACCTATAACCTCCTCTGAGCTAAGGCACGTATTTATACAGCCCTACTAGAAAAAGCAGGGTGGAACACGCTAATATAGACACATTAAAGAGACTGAATAAATAAACAGTAGGTTTTGATTTATTTTCTCTGCTACTTGGATATCCTAGTTTTGGCTCAAGATAGATTTTGTACACAAATGTGGTCTCCAGATAGGTTCTTGTCCTGGCTGATTTAGAAATCATGTGCAAAGGAGAAAAACTTTGCAAATATTCTTAAAGCAAAATTATATTTATGCTGTTTACTGCCAAAGCATGTAAAATTCTTGACCCCCATTAGCTAGGTAATATGCAACAGATAACAAAGCTGGTCTCTGCCCTGAAGGATTTACAGTTTAAGATAAGAGATAACAGTGCATACAGTCAGAGAGAAAAAGCACATAAAATGTGATTAGTCAGTCTGAGACTCACCAAATGCCATGCACCTAATGAGCATCATTCAGCACATCTGTGCCTAGCCTGGCAGAGTGCAGGGCTTGGTGGAGCAATGCTGGACATGGAAAACAGCGTACGCCCTTGACACTGGGGAAAAGGTGATGGGAAGGAGCAATTAAGAAATGTCACACGTGAGAAATGTTCTAGTCACAGGAAGTTGTAAATGAGTTAATAACTTTTATTGTGGGACCTACACTCAGTTCAGGTGGAATGTATGTAACTATGAAATCAAAATAGCCATGGGAAGCTTGTTTAAGAAAGGCTGCAGGACTTACTTCTCCTCCTGTCCTCAAGGTCCAAGATGCTTGCCTGCTCCCACATTACTGAGCAAAGTGAGGAATTACACTGGCTGTGAATGGTAGTAACATTTCCAGGAGCAGTGACAGTGCTAGAATGTGTGCTCACCTCCTCCTCTTAACCAGTTCACTAAGGTGAACTAAACACTAAAAACCTGTTGTTTCTCTTCTCTTTTTTTTTTTTTCTTGTTTCTACCAGGTTGAACTACTGAATGTTTTAAAAGCACCAAGCATGATGATTTCTAGGTATACATCTAGCAATAACTTTTGATGCCCTGTGACACATCCCATCTCTAGAGAAGGTGCAGCCAGTGATGCTGCAGGAGAGCAGAGGTTGCCAGGCACTTCCAGTACAAACCAGAGTGACACCAAGAGAGCTGGAAAGCTGCTGAGAAACAGCTTAATGAGACAGATGGAAAGATTGTGCCAACAACAAAATTAATTTCTGGATTAAAAAAGCCTCCATGGTTTGAAGTTTGTGAAGCAATAAACTAATTCAGATTTGCCAGTAGCTGAAAAAGAAAAGCAATTAGGTATGTCCTGGTTTTGGCTGCTTCCATCCTTGTGACAAGCACTGCAGCTACACAAACTCCAGTGACAAGCATTGTGGCTACTTTAATCCCTGAGACAAGCATTGTGGCTACTCAGATCCCAGCAACAAGCACTACACCAACTCAGACCCTGGTGAGGGGTGATGCTACTGAACTAGAGGACTAACCCATGTTGGTATCAGTCACCCCTATGCATGAGAAGTGGACACAAAAGACATCTCACTTAGTGAAGGAGGAAGAAGCAAGTTCATTGCTAGAACAGGAGGAGAAGGCAGAACAAGAGGTAACCTCTCAGTCCATATCCCTGAGTGAGCTGCAAGATATGCAAAACAGTATCAGCCATCATCCAGGTGAGGACATTATCACCTGGCTGCTCTATGCTGTGAGAATGGGGCTAGTAGTTTGGAATTAGAGGATAGGGAAGCCAAGCAGCTAGGACCACTTGCTAGGGAAGGGGGCATTGACAAGGTGATTGGAAGAGGGATAGAAGTCCTCAGCCTCTGGAGGTGACTCCTTTCAAGCATGAAGGAAAGGTATCTTTTCAAGGAAGGTGTTATATGTCACCCAGGCAAGTGGACTGCAGTAGAGAAAATTATTCAGGATCTGCCAATTGGGCTGGCCCTGCCCAGTTAAAAGTTTTATGTACTGCAGAAGAGGAAAAAGATCCTGTAGTACACAT